TTCCTGAGAAGAGAGAGCGAATGGGGCAAAACCTTTCCCCTCCGGGCAGACATGATGGCCTGGATTAATGCATAGTCCATTCACTTTTCTGCTCCTAGCTGCTGGGTTCTGCATTAAGTCCTTGTGCTTCTGGGGCCGTGGCTGTGCTGGAGAGCCGCTTGCGGGGGGCAACTGGTGACCTCGGTAGGGCGTGAAGGACGGACCTTCCGCCCCTCTTCCCATGAGGTTTTAGTCGCCCCACACCCCCAGCTCATACCTGCTATCCACAAGGCTCCCATGTGGCCGCCATCCTTCTTTCCAGAGAAGAGAGGGCGAATGGGGCAACACCCTTTCCCCTCCGGGCAGACATGATGGCCTGGATTAACGCATAGTCCATTCACTTTTCTGCTCCAAGCTGCTGGGTTCTGCATTAAGTCCTTGTGTTTCTGGGTCTGTGGCCGTGCTCCAAACTTAACTCTGATTTTCAGGGAGAAACGTTGGGTGGTTTACTTCCCATTTGTCACTTTGTACATAGAGAGATGTGGCACAGCCGCATAAGCGGCCGCGCGGTTTTGAGAAAAAGTCCTAGTTCCTGCATACTCGAGCTGTGCTTGTAGAGGCTTCTGGTCACCGGGGTTCCATCTGGGGGAGGCGGGATGCGGTACCTACCCCATCTGGGACTTCCCGATGATCTTGGCTCTTTTTGGAACCTGTTTTTTTTCTTTTTCTCCGGGAGCTGTGGGTCCCGCCCTCCATGTGGCCCTTCTCTTCCGGCTGTATGCCCATTTCTTGGTTCTTTTCTCCCACCTCTGCACTTTTGTTTTATGTATGAAGAATGATATTGTGCTTTCTCTCTAGAGTTCTGGGCTGTCTCTCAAAAGTGTTCTTTTAAGGTTCTCAGTGGTGAATGATGCTGATTGTTACCTAAAGGATACTTCCTGATAGTTTGGGGCTCTGCTGGAAATTTATTAAATGAATAAATATTTTTCATAAGAAACATCCATTATCTTAATGCCCACTCCATTCAAGCACATTCTCTCTCTCTTTGTCTTTCTGTCTCTCTGTCTCTCTCTGTCTCTGTTTCTGTCTCTCTCTCTCTCTCTCTCACACACACACACACACACACACACACACACACCCCATCCCATTCCTCTAATCCTTTTCTCCCTTTCCTTCTCCCACTCCCTTTTTCTTCTCTCCAAGAATGGTCCCAAGTGCTGTGTCAAACATTTTTCTATGGGAGAGATTGTTGGCTGCCTACCTAATATTTATTCTCTCTCTTTTCTTCAATATCAAAACCTGAAATATCCAGGTTAATAAACACACACACAGACACACAAACACACACACATTTCTCAGCTTCTCTTGCAGTGGGAATTTCTATTGAATTTCCATGGAAGTTGTTGGCCAAGACTCCCAAAGAGAGCCAGGAGTGATCCTAGAGTCAGAAGTAAGCCCTGGGTACCACTAGATGTTCCTCCCCCACTCCCCCCTCACTTAAAAAAGTATACGTGGGCCAGAGCAATAATACAGTGGGTAGGGCATTGGCCTTGCATGTGGCCAAACTGGGTTCTATCCCCAGCATCCTCTATGGTTCCCTCAAGCACTCTTCGGGGTAATTCCTAGTAGAATTACCTCAACTAATATCCAAAGAGTTGATGTACTGATGAATGCTATTCTCATAGCTGTTTCACCTAGGGCAATAGTTTATTTCACATTATTTTCTTAAAAGCTATATTTTTGTTCACCTTTTATGACAAGTAGAAGTTCCTCTATGAAGGAATCATACTTTGTCAATGCAGTCCAGTTTCCTGTAACAGTTATTGTTCTATCTTTGCATTCTCTAAGGATCCATTCTTTGGAAATGCTTTATTGTAAAGCTGTTACTACAGATTGTGAAAGAGCTTACCCTAACAGTCAAACATAGAGACTCAGCACAGACTTTAAGTTAGAGAACTACATTTCAACCAATGTTCAGATACTCTTCACCCTCTTTGTTTATGGCCAAGTTACTCAAGGTGATCTTCAATTTGTCCCTCTGTAAAATTGGGTCAATAATAACTCCCCTTCTTACAAGAATTATAGTAAAAATTATAGGAGGGAATATATGAAAGCATTTGACAGAGTCTTGTTGTTTACAGTATAAATTTAAAAACATGGTGGTGGAGATCAGACAGGGATTAAAGCGCTTGCCTTGAGGGTACTTGCCCTGTTATGCTCCCCAGTACTACATTGATCCCACCAGTAAGTATCACTGGGTTCTAGGATTTTCAATGCCCCATATATTTCACAGAAAATAGCATGCAAAGCAAGGATAGTTCAATCTAAGTGTTTCTTTCCCAACTACAGTAAATTACTTGACGGAAGATTTTTCTCTAAATCTCTGGAGTATGGGTCAGGGGAAATGCCCAGTGATTAAAGGGTAAATCAGAAAGAGGTGAGATTATAGAGAAGTTTCTGGTCTCCAAACTAAGAGAATTTAACGGTTGGGGCTGTGGAGGGGAAAGAGTAGGAGGGTTCTTTGTTCTGTCTGTAAATTGACTATATTTATTTTGGACTCCACCAGGGCTCAGTTGGCTCAGTTAGCCACACACACACACACACACACACACACACACACACACACACACACACTATCTATATCTATATATCTATGTATGTGATTTCTCTGTGATCACACATCCTAGAGTTGAGTGTGACATATATGATTAGTATAATCATAGGAACTTGTAATTGTTATGAGCTGGAGAAGTATTACTTATTACAAAGCTAAAAAACAGAACTATCCAGTTAACATTTTCACATATATTTAGTGTTACTATCTGTACCATACTCTGGGTGTTCTGTGGTTACTCCAGGTTTGGTGCTTGGTGGGCTATGCAGTACCAGGGACTGAACCTGGATCTACTGCATGATGTTTTTTTCTTCTTTCTTTCTTTCTTTCTTTCTTTCTTTCTTTCTTTCTCTTTTGGCTTTTTGGGTCACACACGGCAATGCACAGGGATTACTCCTGGCTCATGCACTCAGGAATTACTCCTGGTGGTGCTCAGGGGACCATATGGGATGCTGGGAATCGAACCTGGGTCTGCTGTGTGCAAGGCAGATGCCCTACCTGCTGTGCTATTGCTCCAGCCCCTGTTTTATATTTTTTAATAAAAGTTGTCAATGGCTAATCAGATTCTGTTTTAGGTTTTGTACTGCACCCTTGGGTGCTCAGGATATTCCCCTGGCTTTGTGTTCAGGGATCATTCCTGATATGATTCAGGGGATCTCATGAGGTCTGGAGATTGACCTAGGTCAGTCACATGCAAGGCAAGTTACTTATCCACTGTACTATCGCTCTGGCCTACAGAATTCTTATTTATACTTTTATCACCAGATTTCAGTTCTTTAACTCATAACACTGGAGATAAAGTAGTAGATGGCAGCCTGAGAAACTTCATAAAAATTGTCTTTAGTGTTTTAACATTAGTGTAGAGCCACACACCTAAATATGCTTAATAAGGCTTACTCCTAGCTCTGGGTACAAGGATGACTACTGGTGGGCTCTGGGGACCATATGGGTGTCAGGATTTGAACTTGGTCAGCCTTACCTGCTGTCCTATTTCTGTAGTCACATTAGGAATGATTCATCCTATTTATGAGAAAATATCTCATTTTATTGATACAGACTAGTTATGCTAGCCAAAGGAAACAAATCATCTGTTAAGATATGATACTAGGCTCTGTGTAAAAGTAAACGAGGATTCCCTTCCCCCCCAGTGCTTGAAGGATCTGGATTACAAATGCAGTTGGTAATATAGTTGTCATAAATGTGCTATGAAATGGCATTAACTGATTGCTCCTATCACATCAACAACCTAAGTTAAAAGTCCCTAAGGGAGTTTCACTTTAAACATAAAGCTTGTTGGAGGGATGACAAAAAAGCAGCCCTTGCTGATTAAATTTAAATTTACAATAGGAATAGGCCTGAAATTCAACCTCCCTGGGCTTGCTGGAAGAAATAAAGCATTGAGAAAATGTTCCTCTAAAGACCAGACAAATATTGGGACTTTCTAAATCACCATCTCCTTTTGGCTCGTGACAACCAGACACCAGGTATCCATCCACCTCTTTCGCTTTCCCAGACATGAAATTTTGCAGAGAACTTCAAAATTTTCAATGATCATGATCATCCTTAGTGTTTTCAGAGGCATATGTGGGATCCATGAAAAGGATTCACCAGTAGAACTCTTAAATGTCAAGAGAATGTCATTGAATGGTCAACCCCTGCTCAGTAGAGTAGATGGGCCTAAAAACAGGTCCCTTGAGCTGGTGACTTGGGGCCCCTCAAGCTAGATCAGACCTTGCCGGGTAGTTTCTTCTAAAAAGCTGGGCACAGAGTAGCACTGTAGCACTGTTCTCCGGTTGTTCATCGATTTGCTCCAGCAGGCACCAGTAATGGCTCACAACAAATTGTGAGACTTGTTGTTACTGTTTTTGGCATATTGAATACATCACGGAGAGCTTGCCAGGCTTTGCCATGCTGGCGAGATACTCTTGGTAGCTTGCTGAGCTCTCCGAGAGGGGCAGAAGAATCCAGCCCAGAGTTTGCGTGCAAGGCAAACTCTCTACCCGCTATGCTATATCGAGCCCTGGCACAGAATAGATCTAGGATCAGCGGTCTTGCCCTTTCTCTGCCCCCAGGGTACAGAACATCTGAGCCTACACAGGCCAACAACTCACCCACGCTGTGCACAGTACTCCACCCTTCCCCTGCGAAGGCGGTGGCCCTGGGTCAAGTGCGTGGCCGCCACCCAGCCCTGGGCGAGCAGGGTATTAATAGGAGAGCCCCTATAGGGCCCTATAGGGCCGCAGGCGACTGGTACGGAGGCGGCAGAGCACGCCCTGCCCCTCCCCACCCCGCCTCCCTGGCAGCGGGCGTGCGTGCGCCCAGCGGCTGAACCTGCGGGTCCCCAGGGTGGGGGCGCTGCCTCAGTAACCACAGCCGGGCCCGGACTGCGGAAACCGCGCGCGGGGGCCAGTTTGGACAAGGGGGCGCAGCGATGAGCCGAGAGCCGGACCGCGAGTGCCCGGAGGACGGTAACGAGTGGCCTGGGCGCGGCTGCAGCCGGTGATCCTGGGCCGCGCCCCCTCCCTGCACACGGCTTTGCCCCTCCGGGGAGCTGGTGGGCGTCGGGGCGGGGAGGAGGGGGTGGCGGCAGGTGCCTGGGAGGAGGTTCTAGGCTCCTCTACGAAGGGTAGATTGGAAGTGGAAGTTCTCATTTTGCTGGATGGTTGCATCCTTTTCGCAAGCCGGTAGGGTTTTTTTTTTTTTTTTTTTTTTTTAAAGAATGAAGTTTTCACCAAGCTTCTGGATCGCGCTGGAGCCCGATGGGGCACTCGGGGCAGGAGGCAGCTTTGGGTGCGCGTTGCTGCGGGGAATCCCCGGGCAGCCTGCACGTGTTCTGGCCTCCAAGAAAGAGGAAATTTGCTCATTTGTTAGTTCGGTAGAGTCTACCCTCCCGTCCCCTCCCGCGAACCCCCCACAGCAGGCTTGGTTGAAAGGCGGCCGCGCTCCCTGGTGGGAGACCGGTGTCCTGAACCCGAGCGTGCGCTGCGCTGGGACTGCGGGTCAGACCCACGCCTTAGTTGTGTGAAGCAGCTTCGAGCAAAAGAACGTCCCAAACCGGTGCTCGATTGGTAATTGAGGGGCGGGGGGGGGGGGGGGAGTAGTCTTAGAGTTCCCCTGTAAAGCCTCTGTAAAGCCGGCTTTCGCAGGCTTTGATTGTGATGCGTTACCCAGGTGCTTTTCCCGCAGCGAAATTCACCTACACCTGAAGATGTTTAGCTGAAATTGTTTCAGTTGAGACCCCTTGGTAGTCCCTGGCTTGGCTTTGTGTGGTCCTTGTTGTTGCTATCGTGTTGGCACTAACTAGTTAGTTGTTGACCTTTTAGGAGGAGCATTCTGGCAGGAATAGCTCCTCTCTGTAGCAGCAGGGCCCCTTTGGGTGGGGCTGATCCAGGCTTAATGAAGCTTCGTTAAGTCGGAACTCTCTGGGGGTTGGGGCGCCGAGAGTGCTTCAGGTACCCGGACTGGCTCCCTTTTCTTGCTCATCACTTGCCAGGGCGGGAGATCTTGCTTCCCGATGGCTAAGCAAGAGCCACTGTGCTGCGAGAAACGTTTCATTCCCCTCTTTACTGGTCCCAACGGAAGTTCCCAGCACAACTGCCTCAGGATTCTCTTTAGAATATGTAGCACTGCACTATAGCACTGTCCTCCCATTGTTCATCGATTTGCTCCAGCAGGCCCAGTAACTCTCCATTGTGAGATTTGTCCTTACTGTGTTTTGGCATATCCAATATGTCACGGGTAGCTTGCCAGGCTTTGCCGTGGGGGCGAGATACTCTCAGTAGCTTGCCGACCTCTCCGAGAGGGGTGGAGGAATTGAACCCGGCTCAGCCGGCTGGCCGATTGCAAGGCAAATGCCCTACCTCTGTGCTATCACTCCAGCCCTTAGAATATGTAATATATAATATACATTATATTACAAATACATTACAATTTATACATAAATATATAAGTTGTAGAATATGTAATAAATAATTATAGAACATGTAACATATATACATAATATCCTGTTACTCAACTAGTGTTTTCATTTTAAGGCATAAAAACCTGGCATTTTAAATTGCTGGAAACTATTGTTTATGAAAAGAGTACTTTTGTGTTTGGAGAGCCAGCCCACATGTACTTTAAGACATTTGATTGAGATCTGATTGAAAAGCATAAACTAGATTGTTGCTTTTTAGAAACAACATGAATAGGGCAGATGTTCTGTGAAGCAAGGATGGGGAGGATAATTGTGTTGACTCCCCTTAGCCCTACACCATGCACTTCCTTCTATGTGGTTTTGAACCTCCTGTTTTAAAGCGAATAGCTTGTAGAACTCTGACAGAAAATTAAAAAGCAATACAAGTATCTGTTCTTTCTGAATTGAACTTATGTCCTTGTAAGCTGCGAGTGTGTGTGAGGCTTGTGATGATTTTTGTAGCTGCTAGCCATGATTAGTGAAATGCAAAGTTTAGCCTTAAGTCTGAATTCCAGAAGGCAGGGGGTGCTTAGGTTGCTGTGTCTGGTTAGTTTTCCTGAAGCAGATAGTCAGGTGATAGCATGTCTAATAGAACCTGATTATGCCAAATGTTTGCTATGACAGCATAGAAATGAACAGGATGTAGATTTGTCAGACTGCATAAATTTCCAAGTATGTGACAAGATGGTGTGGGATGACATTTGGTGGGTATGCTGAGTGATGTGCCTGTGTTGAACTCTCTTGTTGACTGTTACAGACACACGTTATGAAGAATGTCATAGGGAAACATGCTGCAGATAAAGAATTCTTAGTCTAGTCATGCTTGGATGTAATTTATGATCTTAACATAGTATATCCAAGGGAAGCTTAAGCAATTAATTTTACTAGGCTCAAATTTAAATTCCATTAAAAATGAGGAATCCTTTGGGCCCAGGTAATATTGCCCCCTTAAGATTTAACGTAGTAACATGAATCTTTTGTGCAACTTAGAATGCAAAGTCACTGACTTATTTTTTTTTTGTATTTTTTGAGGGGGCACTCCTGGCTCTGCTTAGGAATTAATCCAGATTCTATGCTCAGGGATCACCCTGGACAGGGCTCAGGGGACCATATGGAGTGCCAGGGACTGAAGCCTGGTCTAGCTGTGTGTAAGGCAAACACCTTATCTGCTGTCCTGTAATTCTGGGCCCATCATTGGGGTTGGGGAGATGGCATATGGTTTAGGGTGCCTGTCTAATGTTCTTCACTACATGGCCTCCCAGACGTCACTAGATATAGCTCCAGAAGTCCCTGAGCACCAGCTGGGTGGTTCTATGATCCCTATATACCGTGAACCTGGACTCCACTCAGCCTCAGACCCAAGCACTGAATTGCTGGCCTGGATCCCTTGAGCACTGCTTGGCAGCTACTTCCCCAAACAAAGTCATTGTTTTGATGACATCTTAACATTACGCTTTACTTATTGTTGAAATACTTTTAAATGGAAGCAAATCTAAAATTTTAATGGAAGAGGTGTTGAATTTTTTTCTCCAGAAAAGCTAATGTATATTGCTGCAGAAAAATGCATAATAATTTAAATGCAGCAATACAAATACACACACACACACACACACACACATATATATGCTGTAGTACAAATGAAACTAACATTCAGGAATAAAATTTATTTCTTCATTTTTTTCTTTACCCATTTCAGTGTGGCTGTGGTGAAAGCACAGTGGGTAGGGAGTTTGCCTTGTATGCGAGATTCCTTGCCCCTCTCAGAGAGCCTGGCAAGCTACTGAGAGTAGCTCACTGGCACAGCAAAACCTGGCAAGCTAACTGTGATGTATTCGATATGCCAAAAACAGTAACAAGTCTCACAATGGAGACATTACTGGTGCCCACTTGAGCAAATTGATGAACAACGGGAGGACAGTGTGGACAGTGCTATCCATTTCAGCACCCCTTTATTGTCCTCTCTTAAATTTTCTGGATTTTTTGGGGGGAGGGGGCACACTTAGTAGTGCTCTGGACTTACTCCTTGCTCTGGGTTCAAGGAACACTCTGGGGCTGGAGCGATAGCACAGTGGGTAGGGCGTTAGCCTTGCACGCGGCCAACCCGGGTTCGATTCCCAGCATCCCATATGGTCCCCTGAGCATCGCCAGAAGTAATTCCTGAGTGCAGAGCCAGGAGTACAAGAGTAACCCCTGTGCATTGCTGGGTGTGACCCAAAAAGCAAAAAAAAAAAGAACACTCTGGTGAGGTTAGGGGTGAGGCAGGGCCTCAAACCCAGATCAGACATGTACAAGGAGTGCCTTATCCACTGTACTATCATGCTGCATGCCTCTCTTTTATCTTTTTTTATTTCTCCTTTCATCATCTCCTTACATCCAAGAAATCCCACCAGGGCAAAATATCAGCCCGTGGAAGATTTCCTCTTTCAGAATCAGAAGTGCAAACATATACTGGACCCTTTACTATCTGCATGCTGAGCTATGAATACCTTCTTATCTGATCCTTAGGGCCAAACCAGTGGAAAGATAATGCTTTTTTATGTTTCCCCAGAAAACTGTGACTCATGGTGTGTGACTGCTACCCAACATCCACTGATTTTTGAGTCAGCAGCCCCCCCTACCCCCCAACGCCCCGCGACATCTAACTCTGGTCCATTCTGCCCCCTGCTGGGTCATCAGTTGAATGTCACCTGGTGGCTTGGAGCCTCCTTAGCGTTCCTGCACCTCTACAGGGACAGGGAAGAAAGCTAGAAAGGACCCTGAAATGGAGCTCACGGAAACAGTATTCTCTTCTCTTCCTTTCGGGTGGGAATGATGAGAAGAAGGACTGTGGATGTTGGAAGTCTTAGAGATGGCAGAGGGAGAAGGGAACTGCCCTACCTGACATCCCTGCTCTCACAGCAGGTTTATTGATCATATTCCTCCTAGGCAAAGATGGGACTCGAGGCAGGGTCACCAACAGATGAGATCAGAGTTTTCTCACTGGGTAGAGATAGGTAAAGAACCACAGGAAGGTTTACAAATACACTAGTCTACATCCTGTTATGTAGTTTCACTGTGAGTTACATTTTCTTCGTCTGTAAAGCAAGGATAAAACCATCCCCTGTTTAGAATTATTGTTAGGATTAGGAATAATGTACAGAGCGTCTGGAAGGTAATAGGATCCCCATAAATTAATTTCTTATATTCAGAAAATGGGATCTAGAGGTTAATGAGGTAATTGAAAAATGTTAGCACCAGGCAACTTCACAGAGGGAGAGCCTGGGCAGACATTCATTCAAGTACACAATGCTAGCTGCTGAGCCTAATTTACACATGTGATCAGCCACAGACACTGAGGATTTTTGACTGCTGCTGTTGTATCTTTGTAATTGGGGCTTTCATTTTCCAGAAAGGCTGAAGAGACATTTATTCATGTCTTAAAACAGAAAAGTACTGGTGGCTCATGGGAAATGATTTTAGAAAGTGATGGTGAGTGGCATAGTGGAGTCACTCGCTCAGTTGACCATAGGC